TTATTTTTTTTTTTGTTATTAGCTTTTTATTTGTCGTTGAGAAAATTTGTTATTATTCTCAAAATTAAATGTAATAAAAGTGAAAAATGAGATTTGATACTTTAAATCAATATCATTCATTATTGAATGGTAATAGATATCGATGACAGGAACGGTCATAATTGTCACATGGTATACTAGGTATCCATACTTTGCTACATCTGCCCTGTATTGTACCATATTCCGTCCTGATTATGCTATCATAATCATCTGGTATTTTACTGCAGGATAATTCAACAAATTTCATTGGTAGATGACCTAAAAGTTTAAAATTAAATGCAAAAATTTGACAATTAAAATTATAAAATTGACAATATAATTACATTTTTCTTTTTGAGATATGAAAAAAGTTTAAAATTTCACACTTTTAATGATATCAAATAGTAAGCTTTTCGTCAATCATATTTCCTTTTTGATTTTTTTTTCAATTTTAAGTTGAAAAAAAAGGCTTCAGAAACAGTCTATTCAAATACAATCAAAATTAATATATGAAATGATAATGAGACATTCAAATTATGAAAATAATCAGTTGTTTGATTTTCCTCTGAAAAATCAAAAAGAATTTAAAATATCAACTTGAAGACTTTCTCAAAAAAAAAAAAAAAAATCTTACTTAAATCTAAACTATAAAATGGTCAATTATGAAAAATAATTAATTAATTGGAAATAATTTAAGATTAATATACCATCTGAATATGGTATAATCAATGATGAACGGTCAGTTTCGGATTTAACTGTAACTGTATATGATGTATTTTCCGGATTAGATGATTCATCACCATTTAATAATTGATTCAATTGTTTGATATATCGTATAGCTTCACGTAATGTAGAAGCTTTACTTATCTTTCGTTCATTTGATAACCATGGTAAAAGATGGCGCAATTTGTCAAAAGCTTCATTGATACTACAATTAATCAGATTGAAAATTTGTTAAATTGAAAAGTAATAATTTTCATTCATTAAATTGACTTAAAAGATTGATAATAATAATACTGTTAAAATACTTTAACAAATGGAAATGTCACATTATATTACTAGCTAGATAAATTTAATCAAACAAACAATTTCACTTGTCACCTGTACATTCGTTTTCGTTCTCGTTCATTTGCCGCTTTACGTTTCAATTCATAAAATAAAACATTTCGTTCTCGTCGTTTCCTTGATCGTATTTGCTTCCCATTTTTTGACAAATATTGTTGCTGTGACATGAATAGAAATCGAAATTTCTCGATTGATTGAATGGAGTATTTGACAGATCAATGAAATCGATTGATCAATTTACTAAAAATGAATGGTAAAAAATTTTTGATTTTTGTTAAGATGAAGAAGGAATGTTTAAATTTGTCCAGTTTCCGATTTATAACAAATAAACTTAAGAAGAAGAAATTAACATAACTATTTTTTTTTTTTTACAATAACCGAAAATACACAATTATTTAGAAATAAGAATTAACTGAAATTTTATATAAAAAAAAGAACCGGAAAATACTCATTCAAAGCTTTAATAATTAGAAAGAATGATCAGAATTGCATTTTTAATAACAATCGTTAATTTTCCGGTTCAAAATTTCTCAAATCCTGTATATTTAAAATATTCCAAGAATAATAAATTACATTAATTCCCCATGCAATGTATCTATCATCATCCTATAGCGAATGTATTAATCACTAAAAATCTGCTAAAAATTTTGACGATGAAATCGTTGTAAACTTGATAAAAAGGTTAATAAATGACCTTGTAGCAGTTTAAATTGTACAGGTGTGTTTTACAATGAAAATAACATTATCGAATATAAATGATTACCTTTTGAAATACCTTTTTGTAAAGTGCCAGGGAAAAAAAAAATTTAATTGAAAAAAGAAAAAAGATGGAAAAGTTATGAGCAAAATATTCTCTTCTCAAACATTTACTTACACATACAGTATATACACACACATGCACACACACACACACACACACACACACACACACACACACACACACACACACACACACACACACAA